GGGGTCATTGCTGTAAATACAACATATTTAAACAGCTTGGCCCAATTGATAGCAATTTCACCTCTGGGTCAGAAGGTTGTGGGTTCAAGCCCCAGATTGGGACTTGAGCTCATAGTCTAGGCTGACTCTCCACTGCAGTACTGCATTGTCTCCTTCGTTCAGCTGGTTTTGGTTTGTTTGCATCTTTGTCCCATCTGCTCCCCAGGTTTTCAGCCACTACACCCTGAAACTCTGGAACTCTCTGACTCAATCCCGCCACCTTGCCCACTCCTTGCATCTCTTCAGATCGCATCTGAAGACCTTGCTCTTTGACTGTGCCTATGGTCACTTCCCCTCTCTGAAGGATTCAGTGTCAAGTTCCGCCACTGTTAAGCGCTTCGAGACTCTACCCTGTGCGAAGAGATATATAAATGCAAGTTGTTGATAATAATAATCTTTGCATTTGACGTATTGCCTATCACGTCACTGGGAACGTTTCAAAGCGCTTCACAGAATATACTGTAAAATTAATTGACTATATTTTGTGGGAGAAACGCAAAAGCCAATTGCGCACAGCAGTGTCCCACAAAAAATTGTGGCTAAGGTGAACAAATTATTATTTATTCATTTTTTGAAAAAATTATTACCTCACCAACAGGAAACATAGCATGTGGGTGGATCAAAATGAAATCCTCTCAGTAAGGGATTTGCAATTTTGAATGGGAAGAAATTTTCCCCTTTTTTGGTGGGGGAGGGCTTTGGAAGGGTAATTAACCTCTAAAAGTGATCCGCCAATCGACTAACAACTGGATTCCTACTTACTGCTAGGTAAATAAAAATGTGTGGAGTAAAGAAACTTGCCTAAGGTTTCGCCCCGCTCGGGAATCGAACTCTGGTCCTCTTGTTTGCGAGGCGAATGCTCTAACCATTACACTACAGGACTCCTGTAGAGTATTGTTGTTGTTGTTGTTGTTGTCAGAGGTACAGTCTGTCAGCTGAGTCGTTAAACCAAGTTCCCATCTAGCATTTTGGCAAGATGAATGTTAAAGATCCCATGACACTATTCAAAGAAAGGAGGGAATTACTCTCAGTGCATTGACTAATACATACAGAATTAATTGCTATCAGCATTTCTATTATTGTAGCATGTGACTACTAGGATGGTAGAAGGCGACCTAGATGGACCTTGGTCTTTTTTCATTTAGTAATTCCTATTTTCCTATGTCCTGGCCAACAATCCTGCAAATAAATTGGTCATTCAAGTAGCCTCATGAATATTTATAGGACATTGGTGTGTGCAAATCGGCTGCAGCATTTGTCTACAAAAAGTCACTATTGTTCCTAGTCATTACTGTAAAGAGCTTTGGTACATTTATAATGTGATAAAGCACTAAAAATGCAAATTCTTTCTTCTATTGGTCTAAGTTTGGCTCAGTTAGTAGCAGTCTTACCTCTGAGACAGAAGATTGTGAGTTCAAGACCCACATCAGAACTTTGACCTTACAGTCTCGGCTGACACTCCAGTACAGTGCTGGGGGAATTGTTGGAGGTGCCGTCCTTCTGATGAGACATTAAACCGGGGTCATTTCTGCCTGTTCAGATGGAAGTTAAAGAGCCCCTAGCACTATTTGAAAAAAGAGAAGGGTGGATTTCCAACTGTCCTGGGCGACAATTCCCCAGATAGAATTGATCATTCACTTCATGGCTGTTTGTGGTAATTTGCTGTGTCATATTTATCTACCAAATATACGGTCACTAAATCCTGTGAAACGCTTTGAGATATCCTCTTGATGTGAAATGCGTTGTATACCAAATGCAAGTTTTTTTTTATTAAAAAAAGGTTCTCTGAGGTAATATGTAATCTCAGATACATCAAAAATATCGCGTCCCTGTATAATGCTGGCATAGCAAAACTCTTGCATAAAATCAAATATGCATTATTTCAATAACAAATATACAGTATATTATAAAATGAAACTTACCAGGGAGAGGTAAAATCTAATATAACCTCCAAATTGAGAAAGCTTTTATCTTTTTGAGCTCCTGTCACAGGATCTGAACGTGTCAATTCAATTTTAAAAAAATGTGGTCACTCGGTTTGCGGGACAATGCGCAGTTAGCTGCGCATTGGTTGGTTTGCAGGGGTGTGCGCAATTGGCTGCCGTGTTTCACCCACAAATATACAGTCAATTCACTTTACAACTCCAACAACTTGCACTGAGAGAGCGCCCTTCACGTGGGGTAGCGTCCCGGAGCGTATATTCTGCGAAGCGCTTTGCGATATCCGAACACTGCGATAAGGCGTGACACCAAACGCAAGGCTTATTGTTATTAGACCCCAGTAACTTACTCGTGTGACTACTGCTGTGAACATCATTTTGTGACCACGACAAAGAGCGAGAAAGTGCGTGTGACAGTGAGGATGTGCAGACGTGCAGATGGTGATGCTGCCGCCAGGGGGAGTGTTGGGGCTGTCTAACACGTGTCTGTGATCTGTAAATTCAGTCCTGGAGACTGACTGAGCAGTCAGACAACATTTACATTCCCCTAATAAACTGCAGAGTGGAAACAGCAGTCACGACGTGCAAAACGCAGGCAAGTAGTGGTGCTCACAGACGCTCCACATACTGCTTGCATTTGTGCATTTGGGGACAGGCAGTGCTGTGATAGCGTCTGTGGTGCATTGGCTTTTTGGTAGCGAGTTCAAGCTCACTCTTTGCAATATATTGGATGGAAGAAACCGGTGAAACATTGGCCACTGATCACTGATGTTGATGCGTTTGTTTCATCGGGTGCACACAACGTGGCACAATAACAGCAGCCGACCTCTCCCCCCCCCAGTGCTCTGTAACTGGTTTATTTTTACATCACCTGCATGGGCAGAGACTTAACCTGATGATTATTCCCGAAGGAAAACAGATTGCAACGTATTTTGTTTTGATTTTTTTTAATTGTAAAATAAAAGTTACACGGTCTTCGTTTGCAAATTATTATGAACAGGTCGGTTTAAGAGCACAAATGCACGATGTAGAAGGTGATAATCACAGTGTGGCTGTGGTACCCAGAGTCAGATGGTGCTATTATTTTTTTCAATGAAGTCAGCAGACTGTGCAAAATGCTTTTTTTTTAATACACACACAACCAGGTGATTGCTATTGGGGGGAGTGGGGGGGAGTGGGGGGGGGGGGTGTGGGGGTGGAGGTGGGGGTCGGTGATGGCTTTGATGGTTACAGATCCCTTACAGAGGCTGTGGTGCTAACTTGATGTGATTTGCCCTGTGCTCTGCATCGCACATATTAGAGAGGAGAGGAGGTGTGTGTGGGGGGGGAGTGAGAGAGAGAGAGAGAGAGAGAGGGGGAGGGAGGGAGGGAGGAGAGGGGCGAGAAGTGGGAGGGAAGGGGGTAGATGGGTTGGGACTTTTGCAGCCTATGGGCTCCTTGGAGGAGGAGGAGGGGGAGGAGGAGATCTTGCAATCCCCGCCTACCCCCAAAGCCGCTCCTCCGAGGCTGGTGAGCACCTCCCCGGCCTCCAAAACAACTCGGCTTCGCCAAGACTCAATGAACCCGGGGAGCTCGGCTCGCACTGGGTACTGTGCGCTGCGCTGCGCCCCACAGCTCCAGCTCCAGCTCCAGCAGCTCCTCCAGCTCCAGCTCCAGCTCCAGCTCCAGCTCCAGCACCAGCTCCAGCTCCAGCAGCTCCTCCAGCTCCAGGTCCAGCAGCTCCTCCAGCACCAGCTCCAGCTCCAGCTCCAGCACCAGCTCCAGCTCCAGCAGCTCCAGCACCTTCGGATGTCTCCTCCTCCCCGGGCTCAGCACTGATCGCCTCTCCCTCCCCACCTGCAGAGAGGAGAGAGAGAGAGAGAGAGGAGAGAGGGAAGCGGATCGAGGCAGATTGCTGTTTATCCAACAGAGCTGTGTGTGTGTGTGTATATATATATATATATTTTTGGAGCTGCTCCTCGCTGTTTGCTCTCTCTCTGGGACCCCCGTTTTGCTGAGCGCTCGTTGCCCGATTGACTGTGTGTGTGTATATATATATATTTGTAATATATATATATTTCTCTCTGCAACAAGCAGTTTTGTTTGCAAAGCTCGTCGTTCTTCAGACTGAGACACAGAGAACGAAAGGAAGGAAGGAAGGAAGAAAGAAAAAGAGAGAGAGAAATCAAAAAAAAAAAGACCTTCATCACTTTGGGGGAAGAAGAAAAGTAAAGGGTGGGGAAAAGATGCTGTGATTGACTTGACTTGACTTGACTGCTCCTGAGCCTCGGATCTCCGTCTGTGGCCTCTCTCACACCCCCAGGAACTCAGCACCGATCTGTTTAAAGCCCTTCACTACATCGCCTTCTCTCATCAGAAGCGCAGAGAGAGAGAGAGAGAGAGAAATAAAAGGAGAGAGACTTCTGGGGCTGTGTGACCCCCTCCCCCCCCCCCCCCTTCCCCGCTGTATGTATATATATATGTACACATATATATATATATTTGCGCCCCAATTGCGTTTGCAGATCACCGACCTCACCTCGATTCGCTTTGCTGAGAGGCGCACAGAACTTTCCTCTCGTCTCTCAGATTTGTTTTTGACACAAAAATAATCATAATTTTTTTTTGCCCTCCACCCCCCCACCTCCACCCCCCACCCCACCTCCACCCCCCACCTCCACCCCCACCCCACCTCCACCTCCACCCCCCACCCCCACCCCCCGCTTTCTCTCGTGCTTTTCCTGTCGCCGTTGTTAATGTGTGTCAGACCTGCGTGTGTGCCCGTGAATTAATATCGCCTCTCTCTTGCAACCTGGGTGGTCCCGACCGTGGTTCGTACACACACACACACACACACACACACATCGACTTGCCCCCCACTCCCCCCACTCCCCCCACTCCCCCCACTGCCAACCTGGACTCTCAGATCCATCGCAAATCCATCGGGACTTGAATGAAAGTGATACACTGACGGATCAACTTTCTGGGGGGGTGGGGTGTGTCAGAGAGGGAGAGAGAGACTGAGAGACTGAGAGAGAGAAAGGAGGAAGAAGAGAAGAAGAAGAAGGAGAAGAAGAAGAAGAAGAGAGTGAGAATCCCTCTTATCCGCTCCAGGACTTGTCTCCGAGGCCATGATCAACGTGGAGATGTGTTTGGTCTTCCTGGTGCTGTGGATGTGTGTTTGGTCCCAGGAATCGGGCAAAGTGGTGGCCGATCGTTACGCTGTGTACTGGAACAGCACTAACCCCAGGTAACCCCGCGCTGCTGCTGCTGCTGCTTTTTTGTGGGGGTGTTTTTTTTTTCTTTTTCTCCCCCCCCCCCCGAGATCAGAGGGAGAGGGAGAGAGGGAGGGAGGGAGACGTTTTTCTCTCTTGTGTGGAAGGCGCTGCCACTGAAGTGGAGCCCAGGATCGCCCCTTCGTGAGAAACAGCAACCAGGAACCTGCTGAACTCTCACCCACACACACACACACACACACAAAAAAAGGTGCAGCGTTGCATATGTGTCTGTGAGAAGCACCACTCCCTCCCTCACTCACTCACTCCCTCACTCACTCACTCACTCACTCACTCACTGGTCGTTCTAACTACTGTGCATTAGGAGAAAAGGGATCTGCAGAGGAAAATCTTAAAAAAAGGATGGAAATGTGCAAAGGAAAATCACACAAGATCCCATCTCTCTCTCTCTCTCTCTCTCTTTCTCTCTCTCTCTCTCTCCCCCCCCCCTCCCTCCGTAAACAGATCACACAGGTGAGCCAGAGAAGGTGCTTTTGCAGGTGAATGAGCCCCTCACTTTGCTCAGTGAGTTGAGTGAGTGATGGAGTGAGTTGAGTGAGTGATGGAGTGAGTTGAGTGAGTGATGGAGTGAGTTGAGTGAGTGATGGAGTGAGTTGAGTGAGTGATGGAGTAGGCGTTAAAGGGAAACTGGAGTTAGTTATTAGTTATTAGACTTGTTACAGGTCTCTCTCTCTCTCTCTTCTCTCTCCCTCCCTCTTCCTCCCCCCAATCCTCAAAGTTTATGTTGACAACTCCTCGGCTTTTCTGGTGTTTTAGATCAAATTTAAAAAAAAACAACCAGACTTGAGCGATGTGACTTTTTCCCCCCAAGATGTTTTTCCATTTAAAGCACACACACGAAAATGTGATGCGTAGTGTGTGAGAGTGTGTGAGAGAGAGAAAGAGAAAGAAAGCGAGAGAGAGAGAGAGAGAGAGAGAGAGCACTAAATAACATAAGAAAATAAATGCAACACACTCAGCTGCAACCCAACTGGAATATTTTGCAGCCTTTTGCCCATTTTTGTTGTTGTTGATCGAAAGGAACAGCAAAGGTGTGAGCGAAAGGTGACCTGTTCTGGTGTTGGCAGTGGCTGGAGTTTGACTGAGGGTCTGACAGCCAACGATCCCTGTGAGAGAGATCAGGGCAGTCACTACAAGTGGGAAGAAGGGAGTGTGTGTGTGTGTGTGAGAGAGAGAAAGAGAGGAGAGAGAGAGAGAGAGTGAGGTCTTGGCATTTTTTAAAATTCATCTGTTAAATAAAAACGAATTGTCGGCCCCGCAAAGCATCAGCTCTGCACGATTCGCGATGCTTTTATATATATATATATATTATATCAGCCTTGCAAAACAAGCTCTGCACGATTCGCGATCCCACACACACACACATATATATATATATAATATATATGTATATATATATGAGGCTTAACAAACCTCAGGTCTGCACAGTGCGCGATGCTAACCCGGGAGTCAGTAACTAACTCAGTCACTGGCGGAGTTGCAGTGGAAACTTGCGTTTGAGTCGTGTCAATTTCTCCTGGTGTTCCCCTTCCCTTCCCTTCCCTTGCCTTCCCTTCCCTTCCCTTCCCTTGCCTTGTCTTCCTATCCCTTGCCTTCCCTTGCCTTGCCTTGCCTTGCCTTCCCTTCCCTTCCCTTGCCTTCCCTTCCCTTCCCTTGCCTTCCCTTCCCTTCCCTTCCCTTCCCTTCCCTTCCCTTGCCTTGCCTTGCCTTCCCTTCCCTTCCCTTCCCTTCCCTTGCCTTCCCTTCCCTTCCCTTCCCTTGCCTTGCCTTGCCTTCCCTTCCCTTGCCTTGCCTTGCCTTGCCTTCCCTTCCCTTGCCTTGCCTTCCCTTCCCTTCCCTTCCCTTGCCTTGCCTTGCCTTGCCTTGCCTTGCCTTCCCTTGCCCAGGCGGGGAGCCCTTCACACGGGTAGAGGACACATCAGATCAGATCAGATCAGATCTCTGTGCAAATAATAATAATCCTTCCTGCAAATACTTGCTTATAATCATACAGACAGAGCCCAGGAGCCTGGATACAGAAGTTGGCTTTGCTTTTGATGTGACTGGACAGAGCTGACTGAGCACTTGGTGCTTCAATCCTAAATCCGTGTGTTAAGTTTATTCCTCCCAACTTTTGATGCCGACACACTTTTCTCCCCAGTTTTTCTCTCCCCCACTTGTCCCCCACCCCATCCCCTCACACACACCCTTTCAGCCTTCCTTTCTTTCCTCCTTTCATCGATTTGCAGCAGATGTGAAAGTTTTCAATTACCAAAGTAAACCACCGAAATGCGCATCGATTTGGCAAAATAATTGCTAAAACAATTCGCGGATTAAAAGGAAAAGAAAGAAAGAAAAAGTTTGATTTGGTGTGTTTTGTCCACCCCCCCTCACCACCCCCCAGGGTTAAATGAGGTTGTTTCATGAAAAAACGACATCAGAACCCCCTGAGGAAGTCTGCTGGACTGGAATGCCATTAAAACAACTGACCATTAATTGTCATTATTCATCTGATAACTAGTTTTTTTGTTGCTGCTGTTGGGAGTTTTTTCTGATTCAATGTGAATGCCGGTGAAAGGATTCAGAAGCCTCCTAAATTTCCCATTGCAGATTTGCTCTGCATGTCCACAGCAATATTTTTTTAACAGAATAGCCTTAATTGAAGATAAAAAGTTTTCTGTCAGAAGGCACCATTTTATTGGAATTTTTTTAGAAAATATATCAATTTTAAAACTGAAGTGAACGATTGCTCCTCATAGTAGGTCATTTTCTTTATAAAGATTGGAGTATTTCTGTGTATTATTGTCTCAGTTTATAAAGAGGTCTGAGCCACATACTAGCCATCAAAGAGTTGTTTATTCCTTCTTCTCTAAATAGTTCTAGTTTGTAATTTAAACCTACAATTAGTGGCTTGGATTTGCTTGGATCGACTGAACCTCCCATTGGTCTTCACTATTTCTGTGTCTGTCGCTGTTTGTATCTTTCTCTGTGTGTTTGTTTGTCTGACATTATCTCCCTCCATCTTCCTGCGATGTCTAATCCCACTCTTGTGTGTCCTCTCACTCTTGAGTCGCACTGTCTGTGTCTGTATATCTCTCGAACACAAAGTCCTAGTTTGGACTGAGATTCACAAAGTGATTTGGGTCACAGGGCATGTCTTTTTATGCCATGTATTACACTGTCAGACAGAAACCTTTCTTCGAGTTTTCAATTTGGGATATTGGGAGATTTTCTCACCCTTGTTGATATGATTGACGACACTGTGTCTCCTTTGTGGGTCCAAATATGATGAATTGGAAATAAAAGCAAAGTCAAAGCCAGCGAACATATATATTTTTGCGCTTATCACAGCAAATTGATGTGCTCCTAGGTTTTAGCAAACGGATTTATCAAATAAAATGACACCAACAGTGATCGGCATTTTGCTATTTTCCATGAGTTAGAAGTGCCTTATTTCATTGCAAGTTAATTGTGCAAAGGAACCATGTGGGACGCTGTTTATATAGAATAAATTCTTTGTGGTTTTCCATTGTCCTGGTAGATTGTGAGGCATAAAACTGGCGCTACCACGGAATTGTTTTCCATTTTGTTCTCCGTAGCATGACAGTCATGGTAAAGTGTTAGAGCAGAGCAGAGCGGTTAAAGACAGTTTCAGACGGCCAGATGTTCATGAGGTTTGCTGGGGTAATGCATTAGTTTCAATCTCTCCTCCCCAGAAAATCGTTTAAATCTCTAATCGTAACGTAACAGTACTGAATAAGTCCGTCAGGAAATGGCACATTATGTTTACTGAGGGAAGCTGTTCAGAATCTGTCTAAAATGCCCCTTCGTTAGGGGGGGAAGAAAGAAATATGGCGCCTGAATGAACATACAGCCAGTAAAATGTATGTCACGAATCTCAAGTACAGTACTCTCCTCGTGGCTGTGGGGATGCATTTTGGTGCATTCTGCCGTTTCCCTCCATGCTCTCTAGCATGCACTCAGTGGCACGGTGTCTGTACGGTATCGGCTTCTTTGTACCGGCTGGAAATCCTCCGATTTCTTCTAGTTGAGTCTGATGGCGGTGAATAGAAAAACATTGCCTTTTGTGAACTATAAACTTAGCTTTGCGGGGAGAAATGGCAGGATTAGCAGCCATTAGACATGCAATGCAATATCGGCGCATCCCGCTAATTTTCAAAACAATTGTACTGCCAGAGAGAGAGAAAAAAATAAATTTTGACCTGAGACAGACTGTGGTTGAAATAACACTGACCGAAATTCAAAAGCCCTTGAAAGATGAAGAAGATGAAGACTTCTTCAGCTTTACGGCCATTTATTTATTTTTATTCTGTGCAGTATTTTTCGACCCCGCGACCATAACATTTTGTCCCCTTTTGCGTAATGCTCATGTCTCATGTGTGTATTTCTGCAGCAGAGTCTCTTAGAAGATATCAATCGAAAAAGTATCATATTGATTTAACAAAGTCGATAGGCACACAGAAAGTACATGATGCAGTGCTGGTGGGTGAAATCAGTGTGTGCCTGAAGGGTTAATGCTGATTATTAACTGTCAGCGGGGGTTGGTATTTTACTTGCAGGGAATGCTGGAGTTTCGTGTTTACTTTCCCTGAGAGCTTATAAGGCAAGGAAAACTGCTTTTGCTCATAAACGACTCTTGCTTTTGATTGTAAAATTCAAAAGAAAAGGGTTTTGCAGTTCATTATATTGTGCTTAGCAAAAGTTAATAGTATTACTGTATTCAGTGACTGTTCCAGCAGGAATCCCAGCTCTTTCATCGAGCCCCTTTGTGTGAGCTCCAGCATCCAGAGAGAAACCAGGACTGAGTAAAGCATTTCACAGGCTACTGGCTCCACAGGGAAGATTCTGACAGTCAACTTGTTAGAGGTTAATTACCCTTCCAAACACCCCCTCCCCCATCAAAAAAAGGGGAAAAATTCTTCCCATTCAAAATTGCAAATACCTTAATGAAGGG